CAGGAATACTTCTTTGGAGCATGTTGGAGCTGAGAGAAAGATACCTTAGTGAGGTTATGTTTCCCAAGCATTTTGGAATCGGACCTCCCAAACTATTGAGATATAAATCAATAATATCAAGGGAATGAAGAGTGCATATGGTTTCAGGAAATTTTCCTTGCAAGGCGTTGTAGCCTAGAGTAAGAGATCTAAGTGAGGTAATGTTTCCCACGCATTTTGGAATTGAACCTCCCAAATTATTGAAGGAAAAAAGTAGTTCCTCAGGGGAGCAAAGATTGCAAAGTGTTATAGGAATATTTGTTTGCACAGTGTCAGAACTGAAAGAAAGATATCTTAATGAAGTTATATTCCCCAAACATCGCGGAAATGGATCTGTCAAACTATTGAAAGACAAATATAGAGTTTCAAGAGAGTGAAGATTGCAAACTGTTTCTGGAATACTTTCTTTCCCCGCGTTGGAATGGAGAGAAAGATGTCTTAATGACGTTAGATATCTCAAGTAGTTTGAAACTAGATCACCCAAACAATTGTTATATATATAAAGGGTTTCAAGGGAGTGAAAATTGCATAGTTTTCTATACATATTCCCATGCATTTCACTGGAATCAAGAGAAAGACGCCTTAATGAGGTTATATTTCCCAGGCATTCAGGAATTGGACCACTAAACTTATTGTTAAATAAATAAAGGGTGCTAAGGGAATGAAGATTGCATAGTGTTTCAGGAATATTTCCTTGCAATATATTGGAGCTAAGATGAAGATTTGTTAGCGAGCTTAGATTTCCAATTGTAGGAGGTATTGAGCCATGGAAATCGTTTGCATGTAGGTCAAGTTGTTTAAGCTTGGATGGCTTGATTAAACTTGTTGGAATTGGGCCATGGAAAAGATTTTCCCTACAATCGAAAGTTTGAAGGTTGCTCATATTGGAAAAAAGTGAATCAGGAATTTCACCAGTGAAAGAATTGAAATATAAGGAAAGGGAAGTATGGTGTTGAAGGTGGGCTATTTGGGAGGGAATAGTACCATCAAGATTGTTAAATCCAAGGTTCAAGAATTAAAGATTACTTAATCTTCCTATCTCTAGAGGTATAAAATTTACCAAACGGTTCAACCTGAGGTCCAAGAAAACTAGCTGGGAGAGGTAAGCCATAGCATATGGAATTGGTCCAAAGAAACTGTTATTATAGAGGCTAAAATGATTGAGGTTTGGAAATGAAAGGAAATCAAAGGTTTCAAGTGTACCTGAGAGGCTGAAATTATCTAGCTTTATCTTATAAACATCTCCGCCATTGTTGCAGCTAATGCCACTCCAATTCCAACAAATGTTGTCAAGATTAGCAATGGACCATGAATGAAGATTATGAGTATTCAATAAGGTGTTCTTCCACTTCACAACTGCTCTTCCCTCTGTTCTTTCTGATGTTGACTCCAACGATTGTGAAAACAGAAGAAGAATATGAATAACAAAACAGAGCAATATTTGAGAAGTGGCCACCTATTAGATCACTATATATATTTTCTGATATGATGTTCTTAGGGTGAATGTATAATGTATCCTATCCTATTTATATAAGTGGCATTGGCATTATAATTCTTCATCACTGAAAGTCTTGAGTTTTAAAATATGATGATAAAATGAACATCACAATTATCCTTTCTATGCTTTTCATCTCTAAATTTCCTTTCTATACTTTTCAATTTAAATTAGTCAGGGAAGATCGATAGACTAAAATTCATTGGTTCTCCCTTTTTCTACTTGTATACTTTTCAATTTTGAATTAGTAAGAGAAAATGGCTAAACTAATATTCTAAATGAGTAATGCTTCATACTCCAGGTTTTTTTTTTAAAAAAAAATATATATTTATCCTACACTCTTTCCCTACGTGACATTATCTGATTAGTTTGATCATTATTGTTATTTTTAATTAATTAATGGTGGGTCAGCAAATACATTGCTCCTTCAATAAATAGAAGCCACATCTATAGAGGGAAAAGGAAAATATTATATGTATTTTCCTTTTCTACTCTCAACTTTTACTCCATACTTAAAATTTTGATGCAGACACTTCTACATGAAGAAAATAATCTATCAATCTGCCACATCAGGGAATAAATTTTAGGGAGAGATGTGAAAATACATGGAGTAGAACTCGAGAGAAAATCCAAGAGGATTAAGAAGTAATTTCCATTCTAAATTGTTTAACAAATTACTATGACAAGACACATAAAAATAATATTATAAAGGGTGAAGTGCCAAATAACACCATGAACCAACAACGAAATGTCATCCCGCACCCTAATCTTACATAAGTGATTATTCGATTCACAAACTAAAAAAAATTGTTCATCTAGCCTTTTTTACAGGTTTCCCTGTTGCCTTGGTGACATGGCTCCGGTAAAAATATGACGTGGAAGCTGATTGTGTTTATTTATAACGGAGTCTTCTTCTTCTATCACAAAGCTATTGTATATGGGAGTCGTCTTCTTCTTCTTCTTGCTATCGAAAAGCTACAGAGTCGTCTTCTTCTTCTTCCTATCGCAAAGCTCCAGTTCCTCCGTCGAACCCACAGCTCTACAAGATGTCTTCTTTCTCAACTTCATCACGTGTTAGAGTAAATATGGAGTACGAGCCTAGTGTTTGTTGTAAATATACAGATTAGGACCACACTATAGGAGATTGTCGTCGCCTTTAGGAATTTAGGGTTTCGAATTATGAATACAGATTAGGGCTTAAGCATGCGATTAGGGATTTGTGTTTGAGATTATGGCTTTCTCTTCGCGATTAGGGATTTGTGAATTAGGAATGGGTAGGGTTTCTTCAGACGTCGATATGAAGGATTGAAATTGCTAACATCTTCTGAACGCAAGCCTCTTCTAGCTGAAAAATTCTTCTGAGCGTGAGTTTCTTTTGATTAACACTAGTGCTTTGACTTTTCTACCAAGTCTTCTGTATGGTTTAAATATGTTTAATTTGCATTTCAATTTTGCTTAATAATTAAACTCCTAAATGAATGCCACATGTACAAAACAACACACGTATCTGCCAAATCACCTCCACATCACCAACTTATTACCTTTAACTTGAAGGCTGCCTGTAAAAAAGACTAGGTGAACAAATTTTTTTAGTTTGTGAATCGAATAATCACTTATGTAAGATTAGAGTGCGAGATGACATTTCTTTGTTGGTTCATGGTGCTATTTGACACTTCACCCTTTTTTTTTTCTCTTCTTCTTTGCCTATAATGTCCATGGCTAAAGAACAACCTACCCCTTTCCCACCAGTTGTTCCTGCCGGTGTAATAAACCTTGACGCTGCAGATATCGGCAGTCTTTTTTTACCTTCATTCCGGAGAAAATCCCTCATTAGTATTAGTTTCTGTCCTTTTGGATGAGACTAACTAACACAACACTATTAACACTCGTCTTTCCACGCGGTTATAAAGAATATGATAAATATTATATTGCATATATTCATTGAAGACCCATGCATGTCCTTGTCCTATTGTTAAATATCATATACAATGCTTGTGGTTTTCAGTCATAGACGTGACAAGTGAAAAAGAAACAAATAAATATAAATTTCCAAGTATATAATTTATTTTATCAATTATTCACCATTAACTTGGACAAAGTACTTGCTAGGTCCCTGTACTGTAATATTTTGTTCAATGTAATCCCTATACTTTAAGATTTAGAACAATTAAGGACAATACTTAACACTGTTTACCGTTTCTATTAAGTTTGTCCATATGGCGTTCGAAAAATATATTGTTTCATTCTTTAGCCTAGACGAATTACTATTATTTTATGCCACATCACACAATCTGACATGGCAAATCCAATGCCATGTGGACAAACTTAACTGAAAAAGTTAATGGTGTTAAGTATTGTCCTTAATTGTTCTAAATCTTAAAATACAGGGATTAAATTGAACAAAATTAAGGTACAAGAACTAAATTGAACAAAATGCTACAGTACAGGGACCTAGCAAGTACTTTGACCCCAAACTTTGAATAAAATAACATTCTTTAATTATGGATTATGGTGAAACTTTCTTATTTTAGTTTAAGAAAAAAAAAAAAAAAAAAAAAAACCAGGAATGATGATTGAAACTGACATCTAGGCTAATTTCTTCAATTTGAGAAATGGCATGATTATCGATTTTAAAAAAAAACATGTGATGTGCGGGATGACATTTCGTTGTTGGTTCATGGTGTTATTTGGCACTTCACCCAAAAAAAAATTAAAAATGCTCTGATACCATGATGAGATTTAGTAGTGAAATCGAAAAAGAGTTTTCATTCAAAGAACTCGATCACGATCAGAGAATGATACAATGAAGACTATAAATAGTAGCCTATACAAACTACCTGGAACTATTATTAAGCAAAACAAGTTAACAAATGAACAAAATAATAGGTCCAAACAATGGGAAAAGCTTTGGCACGTGCATGTGCTCTAATAATCAAAGACAAGGGATCTCTACTAGAATTAACGAATATAGACAATATTGAATCTTTGCCTTTTTATTTTTATACTTTAATTTTTAATTTTTAATTAGTCTCAGAAAATCACTAAACTAAAATTTTAAATTATATTGTTTAGTAAATTAATATGACCAGACACATACAAATAATATTATGAATAAATAAAAACCACATCACAAAATTAAAATAATAATAATAAGAAGAATATATAATATACAATAGTTTTTCCATCTTCTGAAATTTTTCAATTTTCTTCTTTTTATACTTTTAAATTTTTCTTTTTTTAAATACTTTTAAAAAGATTAAGGACCTTGTGGTCCAATGGTACCAACTTTCTCTCCTATGTGAGAGGTTATGGGTTCTCGCCTTAGTGAAGGGGAACTATTAACTTTTTGTGCACTCAAAAAATATATACTTCAGCAAGACTTTCAAATTAAAATTTGAACTTATCTAGTATAGACCTTCACAAGTTATTTGATGATATACTAAAATTCCTTGTTTTCATCTTCTGATCTGCTTCTCTGAAACTTGATAGCTCTGTTTTTCAAAGCAATTGCTAGCAAGCCTAGCATGCATTAATGCATAAATTCATGACTTTTCTAATTTATTAGTACAAGATAACAATATTCACAAGCGATACTCTATATTTATAAGATTTACAAACCAAACACTAAAATCACACAACAGAAAAAAATGGGTAGAAAAAAGACAATTAAAACCACAACCATATAATAAAAGATACTATACATTGCTCCAAGGTTGCTGAAATTCCTCATGTGCCTGCTCCTTCTTAATTGTTGCATCTCCAGTCCACTCTCAGTTCCCAAGCACTAACCTTATAAGCCATCGAGGTTTTCCATACTTAAATATGAAATATCCCATGGCAAAACCAAATGGTATGCCACAACAGTATCCAACAACAACACTTCGCCATCCAAATCCAATCCCAAAATGTTGTGAATCCTTCTCATCCGGTGCTTGCCCTTCACCCTTTTCCTGGCACTTTATTGATAGCGGTAATCCACATAGAGCAGCGTTTCCCAAATAGGAATCGTTGCTAAATGTGTCAAATTGTGTGCCGTGCGGTATTGGACCAGAAAGATTATTAAAAGAAAGGTTCAGTACAGCAAGAAATGTCAATGATGTTGAAAGCTGTTCAGGAATCTTACCCTCCAATTGGTTCCATGATAGATCTAATACCTCAAGAATGGTCAAATTTCCCAGTGATGATGGAATACTGCCAGTGAGGTGGTTATGCGACAGATTGAGAAACCGAATGAAACGAAGATTTCCTAAATATCCTGGAACTTCACCTTGGAAGCTGTTGTTGGATAAATCAAGGATTGTGCAAATATCATAATGCACCACTTGAAGCTCCACCCCTTTCCACACTAGGCTTATTGAAGCTTCATAAGATGACAGCCTTTCATCGTCATTTGCAATCTGCATCGCTTCAAAGTTCTCCATATAATATCTTGGCAAAGGACCATTGAACTCATTGTGTGAGATATCAAATATATGCAGCTTTGGGAATGGAAGTGTAGTCTTTGAAGTGCATATTTCACCATAAAAATGATTAGATCTCAATACAAGAACACGCAAATTAAGAAGAGTATCTAACCAATGAGGGAATGAATCACGAAGCTTGTTGTTTCCAAGATCTAAAAATTTAAGATTGTTGCAATTTCTCAAGCCTCGAGGCAATGACCCTCCCAATTGATTGTCATTTAAATTGAAATACTCCAAGATGTTTCCTTTTATGCAAACTCCTGGAATAAACCCCTGAAAATGATTTCTTGCTAAATTAATAACAGTAAGGTCCTCGCTGAAGTTCACTAAACACCGAGGTAGTGGACCATGTAAATTGTTGTCTGATAGATCAAGAAATTCCAAGGAACTCAAACTGCACAACCATGTCTCAATTCCATAAATCAAACTTGTATTTGTTGTTTGATCTGTGTCATTAATAACTGTTGGAGCTGGAGTTGGAGCTAACTTTCCTCGAAGCTGGTTTTTAAACACAATTAAAGTTGTCAAAAATTTCAACTTTCCTAGGCATTGAGGAATTGGGCCATGCAAACTGTTGTTGGATAAAATGAGCACTTCAAGAGAAGGATGAAGATTGCATAGTGATCCTGGAATACTTCCTTCCAGCTTGTTGGAGCTAAGATCAATATATCTTAATGAGGATATATTTCCAAGGCACCATGGGATCAAACCTTCCAAATTATTATAAGATAAATCCATATCCTCAAGGGCAAGAAGATTGCATAGTGAACGTGGAATACTTCCTTTCAGCATGCTTGAGTAGAGAGAAAGACTTCTTAATGAAGTTATATTCCCCAAGCATTGTAGAACTGAACCTCCCAAACTATTGAAAGACAAATACAGATCCTCAAGGGAAGGAAGATTGCAGAGTGTTCCTGGAAAATTTCCTTGCCCGGTCGTGGAACGGAGAGAAAGCAGTGTTAATGATGTTATATTCCCCAAGCATTGTAGAAATGAACCTCCCAAACTATTGAAAGACAAATATAGATCATCAAGGGAAGGAAGATTGCAGAGTGTTCCTGGAAAATTTCCTTGCCCGGTCGTGGAACGGAGAGAAAGCAGTGTTAATGATGTTATATTCCCCAAGCATTGTAGAAATGAACCTCCCAAACTATTGAAAGACAAATATAGATCATCAAGGGAAGGAAGATTGCAGAGTGCTCCAGGAAAATTGCCTTGCCCAGTGTTGGATTGGAGTGAAAGATGTCTTAGTGAAGTTATATTTCCCAGACATTGTGGAACCGGACCTCCCAAACTATGGATAGACAAAGCTAGATCCTCAAGGGTATGAAGGTTGCATAGTGTTTCTGGAATATCTCCTTGCCCGGTCGTGGAACGGAGAGAAAGCAGTGTTAATGATGTTATATTCCCCAAGCATTGTAGAAATGAACCTCCCAAACTATTGAAAGACAAATACAGATCCTCAAGGGAAGGAAGATTGCAGAGTGTTCCTGGAAAATTTCCTTGCCCGGTTGTGGAACCGAGAGAAAGCCATGTTAATGATGTTATATTCCCCAAGCATTGTAGAAATGAACCTCCCAAACTATTGAAAGACAAAGATAGAAAATCAAGGGAAGGAAGATTGCAGAGTGTTCCTGGAAAATTTCCTTGCCCGGTTGTGGAACCGAGATAAAGCCATGTTAATGATGTTATATTCCCCAAGCATTGTAGAAATGAACCTCCCAAACTATTGAAAGACAAATATAGATCATCAAGGGAAGGAAGATTGCAGAGTGCTCCAGGAAAATTGCCTTGCCCAGTGTTGGATTGGAGTGAAAGATGTCTTAGTGAAGTTATATTTCCCAGACATTGTGGAACCGGACCTCCCAAACTATGGATAGACAAAGCTAGATCCTCAAGGGTATGAAGGTTGCATAGTGTTTCTGGAATATCTCCTTGCCCAGTGTTGGATTGGAGTGAAAGACGTCTTAGTGAAGTTATATTTCCCAGACATTGTGGAATTACATCACCTAACAAATTGTAATTTAAATCAAGGACTTCAAGGGAGTGAAGATTGCAGATGATTCTAGGAATATTCCCATGCGTCACCTTGAAATCTAGAGAAAGTTGTCTTAGTGAGGTAATATTTCCAAGGCATTGAGGATTCAGACCACTAAACTTATTGTTAGATAAATAAAGCGTGTTAAGGGAATGAAGATTGCATAGTGTTTCTGGAATATTTCCTTGCAGCATGTTGTCCATGAGATCAAGGTAGGTTAGTGAACTTAGATTTCCAATTGTAGGAGGAATTGACCCATAGAAATTGTTGTCACCTAGGTAAAGTTGTTGAAGCTTTGATAGCTTGACTAAACTTGTTGGGAATGGCCCATGGAAAAGATTCAACCCACAATAAAAAGTTTGAAGGTTGCTCAAATTGGTGAATATTGCTTCTGGAATTTGGCCAGTCAAAGAATTGTCATACAAGGAGAGGGAAGTAAGGTGTTGAAGATGGCTTATTTGGGAGGGAATAGTACCACTAAGACGGTTTTCTCCGAGGTCCAAGAACCGGAGATTTGTTAGTCTTCCAATCTCTGGTGGTATAAAGTTTACAAAACGATTCATACTGAGGTCCAAGAAAACTAGTTGGGAGAGGTTAGCAATTGCATATGGAACTGATCCAGTAAAGCTGTTATTATGGAGGCTAAAACGAGTGAGATTTGGAAATGAACGGAAATCAAGACTTTTAAGTGTACCTGAGAGACTGAAATTGTCCAGCTTAATTTTATAAACAGCTCCAACATTGTTGCAAGTGATGCCCGTCCAATTCCAACAAATGTTGTCAAGATTAGCAATGGACCAAGAATGAAGAGGATCAGTATGAGTATTGAATTCATCAAGGGTGTTCTTCCATTTCAGGAGGGCTCTTCCCACAGTTGTTTCAGAAGTTGCAGTCTCCAAATGAAGTGAAAAGAGAAGAAGAAAATGAAAAACAAAAGAGAGCAATAATATATGACAAGTGGCCATCTATGAGATCAGTATGTTGTTTAGTTGTGGTGTGGTGTAGGTGAATGTGTGGTAAAGTAGGCTATTTATACGAGTGGCAGTGGAAGTCTGCAAAGTTGAGTAATTAATGGGTTAGAAAATACTTAATTGGACATTGTCGTCAATGGAAAAACCACGTACTGGACAAGGATATCTCTTTCAATTCTTTTCTTTCTATAATTTTCTTATCACAAGAAGACTGGTAAATTAAAATTTTGACAAATAAAAATCCTCAACCAATATATTATATTTAAGAGAGTAAAACGTTAAATAATATATAGATAATATTGAACCATATTATTTTTTAGCAACTGACTTGGATTGAATCTTTTTTTTTAAAATGGTAAAAGTGGTAAAATTTAATGTGAAAATTTTACCATAATCGAGAAGTAAATTAACGCTTATATTTTTAATAAATTTCATATAAAAATGGACCGTAATTTAGCCAAAGTTGGTAGTAAGAAAATAAGAAAATATTAAATATACACAATACGGAATCTCAATTTCTTTAATATCATATTGTAAGAAGACGTTTATAATAAAATTCTAATTTGAAATAGACTACTATCTCCAAATAATAATAATAATAATAATAATTTTAAATTGTTATTATTATTATTATTATTATTATTATTATTATTATTATTATTACTATTACTATTACTATTACTATTACTATTACTATTACTATTACTATTACTATTATTAGTACTAGTAGGTGCACCCGCGCGATGCGCGGCTATATATATAGTATGATATATATACAGTATAGAATATAGTTATTTGAACCTGAAAAAATGTGAAATGACTAGTTGTGATTTTATTACACATTGATGAATATAGTAATTTTATTATACATTGTTGAAGACTTAATTGTTGAAATAACGTGATGCATGACTACCTATATAGTACATATTATATTACGTATAATAATATAATAATAATAAGAAACCTAGTATTTTAAAAAATACTAAATTTTAAATAATAAATTGTTGAATGTTATTATACATTATTGAAGACTTCTTTGTAAACAACATTTTTAGTCGTACTAAGACATGGTACACTTTCCCCACAAATCAAAATTTTCAAACCCCTGGGGTTACTAACTCTTGAAACAGCTACGTACAGTTGTCCATGGTTAAAGACAAGTTTTTTCAACAACAACCCAACTTTAGCAAGCGTTTGTCCTTGACTTTTGTTGATTGTCATGGCATAGGATAACATCAAAGGAAATTGCTTTCGTTGAAATTTGAAAGGCAATCTTGGATCTGACGGTGTAAGTGACATCCTAGGAATCAATACTCTGGTTCCTGCATTTGTACCGCGCATGATTTGGCCTTCCAACACATGGTCAGCCAACCTTGTAACAATCAACCTTGTACCGTTGCATAATCCTAGTGTGTGATCAATATTTCGCAATAGCATAACAGGTGATCCAACTTTCAATGTCAAAGCACGATTTGGTACTCCAGAACATCTCAAGGCATTCAAGAATTCGGGAGTGTGCAAATCCGCTAACATGTCAACATTGGCATCTGACTTACACACAGAATCACAACTCAAGTATGTCTTACCCTCAGAAGGATTATGATCATTCATGTATTGTTTAACGGCATCTACCACATCCAATGTTGGAGCTAAAATTGCACTACGATTAAGATATGACAAATCGGCAATTCCCAGTCGGAAATTAGGGAAAATGCTATCAACAATTGTAGCAATAGGGTCATCTTCGCACTTCAACAAAAAATCTTCTGGAACAGTAATCTCGGACTCCCCATCAAGTTGACACCCAATAATTCCATCACCTATATTAGCTATCCATTTTGCAAATTCCTCGATCTCCTTGCACTCGTTTTCTGATTGAACACTCTTCAAACGTAGATTCTTAGTCAGCCTTAGGACTTTACAGGATTTCCATAGATAGGATGAGCTAATGCTCGCTCGAACTATATCCGGTCTAGTACCCTTTGGAATGACTGGTAAAATTTGCCTGAAATCGCCCCCCAAAACAATTGTTTTACCACCGAATGTCATATCAGAACTCCTTGGATTTATGAAGCGCATCAAATCCCGCATAGTTCGATCAAGGGCTTCAAAGCAGAATTTATGCATCATTGGGGCTTCATCCCATATTATCAACTTTGTTTGCCCAAGAAGTTCCGCCAGTTCACTTCCGTTACGTATGTTGCATGTGGAATCTTCATTAACAGATATCGGTATAGCAAACCGAGAATGTGTCGTCCTCCCACCAGGTAATAAAAGCGAAGCTATGCCGCTAGAAGCTACATTTAACACTATTTGACTCTTAGACCTTAACGCGGAAGAAAGTGCTCGCCACAAGAAAGTCTTATCGGTCCCTCCATAACCATAAACGAAGAATAACCCCCCTTCCTGGCGATCCACGTCAGTTAACACTTCATTGTATATTGCCTTTTGTTCGTCTGTTAACTGCCTTACCAATTCTTGATTCTCTTTCTCCTGCTCGCCACAATCGTATGCTAATTCTTCTTGAATAAACCTATTTGCAATAACGTTTAAGGCACCAAAATTTGCCGTTGGCATTTCAGGATAGTCCTTCAAACTCTTACCATGATTAGATAATAGCTTCTCAATCTCTACTAAAGCAAAGTTCATTTTGCGCGAATCGGTCAACACAAAATCTGCATAAATATATATTAAAATTTGGTGTTATAACACAACTACGTAAAACTTGACTTAATAATTTTTTTAAAATGTACGATTACCTCTGTTCTGCAGTTGTCTACGGACGTTGAATTGTGCATCGTCTGATAGATGTTGCCAAACAGCATGCCAAACTATTTCCGGTTTCCCCATGCAACTGCTCATTAGCAATGTCACGAACAATCTCCTAAATTGATCTGCTGACGTCCAATGACTGGCTTCATCTATTGCATCAACATATTCGTTGTCATCATCAACTAAACCCCTTGCATAACACGCATCTCGGAATGAGTCATATTGCACCCCATTTACAGTCCTAATATCTTCATAACTTTTAGGGCCCCAGATTTTGTTCAGCAAACACCTCAAATAGAAAATTTCACCAGTAGTTGGCGGGACATAGAATATACGTCCTATTGAGAATCCTTTCTTTCGTGGCAACCATTTTCTAAGGTCTTTCTTCCAAACGAATCTTGTTGGCATCTCAACATAAGTAAGCTCTCTCGCATCGGGATATGTTTTATTAGCTTCAAACCATTCCAAAAACATGCTCTGTGCTATCGTAGGTCTATTCACAATGTTCTCAATAGCATCATCATCCGCAAATATCACACTCTGTTGATTAGGAAGGTGAAAGCTTAACCTTTCCACTGAAGGCGCCCGAAGTTGTATATCAAAACCAAACAGACGCCAAACTGCTTCACACAGGGATATGTACCTACAGTCATAGTACATATTTATCTCATCTATTGCTTTGCCATTCTCGTCATCATTGCCTGTTTTGTAAAATTCGGCGGTTACCCGATCATGACCCTTGTTAACATACTTGAACAGGTAATTGATTGACCGTGACTGGTTGCACCACTCGACATTTATATGAGCCTTGTACTTGAGCAATAAATATCTATTGTGCGGTACCACATACCTATTGTCCAAAGCGATCCCGTTCTTTGTAACTACACTGCCATTGTCTCTCCTTCTATATACCGGGTAACCATCGTCATCAAATGTAGAACTGTCAACAAATCTCTTAGGAAAATGTTTAGAGCATCGCGCATTTACCATACATGGAGAATTGGTCCTCGCTTTTCCACATGGACCATGCATCATAAATTCCTCTACCGCTTGGTAATATTCTGCATCTTTCTTTTCATCTGGAATCTCTGCGCAAATTATGTTGTCTAAAGTAAGAACTTGCCTAACTTCTTTACTTTTCTCCAAAAAAAGTAATATATGAGCATGCGGAAGACCTCGATTTTGAAACTCAATTGTATATATGACTGCAACAACATAGACATAAACATCATAAGGTTAAGTAATTACATAAAATTGTAACAAAATTCATTTCAAATAAAAGGACAAATATTACCTCCAGCCACAGGGCCAAATAGTTTATTCTTTCGACAAACAGCTATCAAAGCATCCAACTTAATCTTGAATAACCGGCATATTATGTCCGGCCGATCTTCTGGCTTCAACCTTTGATCTTGTAAAAAGTGTTGCACCTCAGGCCACTTCGGATTGCATGTAAAGGTTATAAATAAATCTGGGTATCCAATCCATCTACATATTGCCATTGCATCTTGGTAGTTTTGTATCATGTATCTAGCACCACCCGTAAAACTTGAAGATAGTATTATTCTGCGACCTTGGGCTGCAGGGCTTACTTCACCCCTTGTCAAAGCATCAGTCAATCCACTATAACTCTCACACCTTAGGCTTTTTTGGTGTGTCCTTATATAAATTAGTCTTCCAGACTCAACCATTGCGTAGCCATCTACAACAAACTGTTGGAACAACCGCTTTGCAAATAATATGGTACTCGGAGCTGACTGTCTAGACTGTATGCGGTAGCAAAAAAACTCCCTGGGACTAATCCTCTGTCTACCACCTGAAGAGCGCTTGCCTACTACGTTCGTGAATGCAATGTCCTCCCGATAACCGTCTTCGCCATATGGGAACAAAATAGGGTATTGCAGTGGTAAGTATGAAGGGTTTAATTCACTTATCCTCTGTAGGTGGCCACCCTTCGATTGAACAATAATATCACGCTCTCCAATACTGGTATCTAGATCTCCGACAATTAAAGCTGCTACTTCAGAAACTTGAGGCAGGTTATATGTCCTAGCATCTCTAGTTCTTTTTCCCAACAACTTTATTTTGACTTCGGCGCATGGATTAATATCCAACTCAGACATAGCCATCCGAAAAGACTTAACCAAAACATTATTTTCATCAAGCTCTTTCTGAATGACATTCACTATTTCTACATGAATGTCATCTTGCTCACCACTACCCCTACAACAACATAAACTTGGCATTGATA